GTTCAGGGGTCAATAACTCGATCAAACAAGCACAATCTGGGTGGGGGGGTGCACATCCATGATGAAGTAGGCAACTTAAGGTTCACATCCATAGCAAATACACCATCAAATCATATCAATAAGGGCCCCAACCGGCTCTCACAAAATGGTATGAAAAACTGGCATTTCATCGAAACCTTGTGTGCACTTTTAAGTTAAGCATAGAATGGGCGGCTAATCCATAACACACAAGGGCTCAATCAAGCATAAGCAACATTGCCCAACATAATCCACACATAAACCAAGCCTTCCCCTCAATCAATTTCAATCAATTCACACATTTCAAAGTGGTTCTCTAAAAGTACACCCTAACACCCAATTCTCCACAAATCACAAGGTAAAGGGAAAAATAATACCTGGAGACACAAGTAGAGGTGTAGGGGATGATGAGGGGAAGGCAATGGAAGCGACGAAAACCCGAAAATCTGCCCGGAAATGCTCGTCGAAGCCTCATCGTAAATCGCCTCCGGTGACCCAAATCCTGCCCAAATTGCCCCAAACTCAAGGTAAATGCCGAAAAGGATGAGGGAAGATTGGTTTGGGTGGTGGTTTGGTGAAAAACCGACCAAAAATGGCCGAAAATTGCAAAAAAAAATTCAAAATCGCGGTTTTCTGGCGAGGGGGAGAGGATTCCGGCGAGGGGTATGAGATTTTCTGGTGACGCGACCGTGTCGGCCGAATTTATAGTGACTGGGTCGGCCACACGGGCAGGCCACACCGCCGTGTGGGTGGGTTGCTTGCCCTTGTGGCGTCGACACGGGCTGGCCGAGGTTTCCACACGGCCGTGTGTGGGACCCCTGCTGCCCGTGTGGAATGTCCAGGGCCTCCACATGGCCAAAGGCCAATTCCACATGGCTGTGTGGAATTCCAGAGCCCCAAATTTGACCTGTTTTTGCACAAAATCGACATTCGACCCTTGGACAACAAATCAAGACTCAAAAACACAAAAAATCAAAAGGGAAAAGGAAAGGAAATGCAAACCTAGGCGGGGTTGCCTCCCCACAAGCGCTTCTTTGCTGTATTTTAGTTGGACGCCATTAGAGGAACTAAGGGTCCTCGAGCTTGATCAGCAGTTCTGTGCGCTTGGCAGCACCTCCCAAGTACAACTTTAGGAGGTGGCTATTCACCTTGAATGGCTCAGTTTGAGCATTGCTGATCTCCACCGCACCGTGCGGGAAAACTTGGGTGACCGTGAAGGGTCTCGACCAACTCGAACGTAGCTTGCCCGGGAAGAGTTTCAGGCGTGAATTGAAGAGCAGAACACGATCACCTACCTGAAACTCCTTCGGGACCCTCAAGCGAGCGTCGTGGAGATGCTTGGTTCGCTCTCTGTAGAGCATAGTGTTCTCATAGAAGTGGTAACGCCATTCCTCCAAATCCAGCAGCTGCAACTTACGTTCAGTACCTGCAACACTCAATTCCAAGTTTAGCAGCTTAAGGGCCCAGAAGGCCTTGTGCTCTAGCTCTACTGGCAAATGACACACCTTCCCATAGACAAGCCTATAGGGAGAAGTGCCAATCGAGTTTTTATAGGCCGTCCTATATGCCCAAAGAGCATCATCGAGCTTAGTGGACCAATCCTTGCGGGACTGATCCACCGTCTTTTCAATTATTCGTTTAAGCCCCCGGTTCGTCAGCTCGGCTTGCCCATTTGTCTGGGGAAGGTAAGCCACCGACACCTGATGCTTAACACCATAGCGAGAGAGGAGTTTAGTGAATTGCCCTTGAAAATGGGTTCCTCTATCACTAATGATGGTGCGATGTGCCCTGAACCGGGAGAACAACTGCTTCAGAAATGAGCAGATCCGTCTTGCATCATTGGTGGGCATGGCTTGAGCTTCTGCCCACCTCGAGACGTAGTACACTGCAACCAGTATGTACAAATTGCCAAAAGATGGAGGGAATGGGCCCATGAAATCGATGCCCCAAACATCAAAAATTTCACAAATGATAGAAATATGTTGGGGCATCTCATCCCGGGAAGAAATGTTACCTGACCTTTGCAGCGGTCGCACTATCGTGCGAAGGTGTCTGCATCCTTGAAGAGCGAGGGCCAATAAAAGCCCGACTGTAGCACCTTCCGCGCCTTCCGGTTTCCTCGATGGTGACCTCCAGTAGGTCCCTCGGGGCATTGCGACAGGATGTCTCCCATCTCGTGCTCCATGACACAGCGCCAGATCACGCCATCTGCTCCGATCCTGAAGAGGTAAGGATCCTCCCAGAAGTAATGCTTCAGGTCGGAGAAGAACTTGCCTTTGCATGAGTGGCCATCCCCTTAGGTAACTGCTTGCCCACCAGATAATTGGCAAAGTCAGAATACCAAGGGGCCACGCTGTCCACCAATGTCATCGCCAGCAATCGCTCACCTGGGAAGGAGTCATCGATTTCTTCCACGAAGTTGTCCACCGGAGTGGCTTCCAACCGTGAAAGATGATCTGCAACAACATTCTCGGCTCCCTTCTTGTCCCAAATCTCTATATCAAATTCCTGCAGAAGCAGGATCCAGCGGATGAGCCTAGGCTTTGCATCAGCCTTGCTCATCAGATAGCGAATTGCCGAGTGATCTGTGTAGACCACCACATGGGAGAGCACCAGATATGGTTGGAACTTATCAAATGCATACACCACAGCGATGAGCTCCTTCTCAGTGGTGGTGTAATCCTCCTGTGCGTCGTTCAAGGTCTTCGACGTGTAGTAGATGGGCTGGAAGCGCTTCCCGCGTCTCTGACCCAGAACGGCTCCGACTGAATAGTTACTCGCATTGCACATCAGCTCAAAGGGAAGAGACCAGTCAGGAGTCACCATGATGGGTGCATGGATAAGCTTGTCCTTCAATGTCTCGAATGCCGCCGTGCACTCAGGAGTGAACTGGAATGGTGCATCCTTCTCCAGCAGCTTGGTCAGAGGCAGGGCAATCTACGAGAAATCTTGAATGAAGCGCCGGTAGAAGCCTGCATGACCCAGGAAGCTGCGAATCCCCTTCACAGAAACGGGAGGGGTAGCTGACTGATCGTCTCAATCTTCGCCCGATCCACTTCAATCCCCTGCTTGGAGATCTTGTGCCTGAGCACAATCCCCTCACGGACCATAAAATGACACTTCTCCCAGCTGAGTGCCAGATTAGTCTCCTCGCACCTCTTCAGAACGAGTTCCAGGTTATGGAGACAATGAGTGAAGGAGTGTCCATAAACCGAGAAGTCATCCATGAACACTTCCATGATCTCTCCAACCAGTTGGTCGAAGATCGCCAACATGCATCTCTGGAAGGTCGCCGGTGCATTACACAGCCCGAATGGAATCCTCAGGTAAGCAAAACTACTGAAGGGGCAAGTGAATCTGGTCTTCGCCTGATCCTCTGGTGCGATAGGAATCTGGAAATAACCAGACATGCCATCCAAGAAGCAATAAAACTCATGGCCAGCCAACCTCTCCAACATCTGATCAATGAAGGGTAGGGGAAAATGGTCTTTCCTGGTGGCATCGTTCAGGCACTGGTAATCGATGCAGACTCTCCAACCGGTCACGGTCCGCATCGGGATCAACTCTTTCTTCTCATTCGGGACCACAGTCATCCCGCCATTCTTCGGGACCACCTGAGTGGGGCTGACCCACTTGCTATCATATATAGCAAAGATGATCCCTGCATCCATGAGCTTCACAATCTATGCCTGGACCACTTCCTCCAAGTTGGGAGACAATCTCCGTTGTGGCTGCCTGACTGGCTTAACCTCATCCTCCATCAGAGTTATGTGGGAGCAGAAGGATGGGCTAATGCCTCTGATATCTGTGATCTTCCATGCAATGGCCCGGGCATACTCTGATAATGACCAGGAGCTTATTTCCCTCTCGTAGAAATGCATACTCCAGGTGACAGGGGAGGGGCTTAAGCTCCTGCTCTGGCGGCTCCTCTAATGATGTAGCGATCCAGGCGAGATAGAGATCGGCTTGAATGGTATCTCTCGCCCCTCGATCGCGGCCTCGTCGAACTCCGTGAGCTGCTCCTCCAGTTGCACATCCTGTGATGCCTATTCCCCTAGCAAAAGAGAACGCTCAAGGAAATAGTCAGTACCCGCACTCGTGATGGCGAGTGCGGTCTCAAAATCAGCAACAACATCACAGTAGTCTAGATCATCATGGAGCTGGGGGTGTTTCATATTATGAGAAACAGAGAAGGTGATTTGTTCACCCCCAGCTCGCAAAATCAATTTCCCATCATTCACATCAATGAGCGCCTTGGCGGTAGGGAGAAAAGGTCTACCCAATATTAAAGGCACATCCACATCCTCATTTATGTCCAAAATCACAAAATCAACAAGATATGAGAATGGCCCTACTGCGACTATAAAGTCCTCTGCAATGCCCCTAGGATGCACAATGGATCTATCAGCAAGTTAAATGCTCATCCTAGTATCACTGGGTTCACCTAGGCCTAGCTTTTTAAACAGTTTATATGGCATGACATTTATGCTAGCGCCTAAATCTGTCAAGGACTTCCCTATATGCACACTACCAATCATGCAAGGGATAGTGAAACTCCCTGGGTCTTTTCGCTTCTCTGGTAGTTTCTTCTGCAGGATGGCAGAACACTCCTCGTTGAGCATCACCGTTGACAGCTCCCCAAGCTTCCTCTTGTTGGTGAGGAGATCCTTCATGAATTTGGCATATTTGGGCATCTTCGATAATGCCTCCACGAAGGGCATGCTTATGTTTACCTGCTTCAACATTGCCATGAACTTGGAAAACTCAGTCTCCAGTCGGTCTTTGTGCAACCGAGTAGGAAAGGGAAGCTGCGGTACATACTCCTTCACCACTGGTTGCGGTTTAGGAGCAGACACCTCAACCTCCTTCTCCATTTCCTCCTCATTAGCTGGAAGTGCTCAAGCAGGGGTCTCTCTTTCTTGTGCCCGAACAGGTGGATCAGTAGTCATTTGCCACTCCTGGTAGTGATGGCCTTGCAGTGCTCATTTGGGTCCTGTGGATGAGGGATGGTCTGACTGGGTAGAGTACCAGGAGTCCTCTGAGCTACAGCCTGGGCAACACTCCCAAGTTGGGTCTGTATTATCCCGTAGCACAACCTGTGTGTTTCTCTGACCAGCTTCTAGCTCCAAGAATTTACCTGAAGCTTTCTCCATGAACTGCTCGATGTTATTGAACTTGTTTGCACTGGGGGTGGCCAGAGAACCCACCAGATCTCGCAATTCCGCCACCGGGTCACTCTGTATTGGGTTGCAGGTGCTGCCCCTGTATGATGAAATGGCCGCACTTGTGACTGAGGTGGAACTGGCCCCTGTCTGGGCGGGTAGAGAGGCTGTTGCGGCTGCTGAAATTGCCCTTGTCTGGGCTGGTAAGGAGGCCTCTGGTAGCCTGGTGGTCCCTAGGGGACTGGTGGTCTAGAATTCGCCCCAACTCAGGATAAGTTGGGATGCTGGCGCCACCCCTCGTTGTAAGTGTTGCTGTAGGGGTCGAAGCGCCTAGCATTGCCGATGAAGTCCACCTGCTCCTGGGGGGTAGACGACTCCCTCATCGCCTGACAGTCCTCCACGGTGTGATGGGAGCTCTCACACCACTGGCAGTGCATCGCCTGCTGTTGTCCTGTACCTGAAATCATCCCAGAGCGATCGATGGTTGAAACCAGTTTTGATACCACCTGCACCAAATCAGATGACTGGGTGGCTACAACATGCACACCCTGCCCTGGTGCTCGTATTGATCTCCTCGTAGTTCCCCAGTCATAGCCCTGCTCTGCCATCTCTTCAAAAAGTTGATTCAGCTGTGGCAGTGTTTTGGTGAGCATATTCCCGCCACATACCGAGTCAATCAGCTGCTTGTCTTTCGGGAAGAGGGCATGGTAGAAGGTGCCCACCTTGAAGGCGTCGGTAAAACCATGGTTGGGACACTTGAGGAAGAGACTGGTGTATCTCTCCCAAGCATCCCAGATGGTCTCATCATCATCATTAGCAAAGTGAGTAATTTGCTTCTGCAGGTCCTTTGTCTTGGACGGAGGATGGTAGCGAGTGAGGAACTTGTCCGCCAGGTTGGCGAATGTGGTGATGGATCCAGGGGGCCTGGTGTCCAGCCACTCCTTGGCCTTCCCTTTCAAAGTGAATGGAAAGTACCTCAGCTGGATGGCATCGGCTGGGACCCCATTTATCTTGATTCTATCAATGAGCTCGTGGAATCGCCTCATATGTGATCGGGGGCACTCCCCCTCTTTGCCACGGAATACTACCGAGCCACGCAACATAGTGATGACCGAGGTGCTCACCTCAAAGTTGTTGGCTGGGACATGAGGGTGCTAAATGGGCGACCTCATGTCCGCGGCTCTGGCGGTCCAGTAGTACCCCATGGTCTGTTCCTCGGGAATGACCACATCATTGTTCTGTGGGTCACCCATCTCTTCTTCGTCGGCGATTTGCAGCTGTGCTAGCGCCTCCTCCGCAACCTGTCGCGCCTTTAGAGCCCGCTTGAAGTTCCTACAGGTCCGTTCAAGCTCCTGGTCTAATGGTAGTAAATCTCCCGATTGACTACGGGTCATGCACTACCTGCACACAATCAGCAAAAGCAACCTGTGAAGGCACACGGGTGGAAGAGAGAAAATTCAGCAAAGAAAAAGCTAGAGTAACAAACTTTCACGTTTCCCCAATAACCTAGGTTCCCCGACAACGGCGCCAAAAACTTGACACGCTAAAACACAACACCAAACTGCGACCAAGTGTAATCGCAGTCCGGAAATGTAGTAACAGGCAAGCTCTAATTGTCAACCCGGGGTCTAGATCTACTGCCTACTCCGTGTATATCTGTTATCTAGCAAACTAAGTTGAGTGATTGTTGATTTAAGTAAATGTGGAAAGAAAGCAGGAAATGGTTCGGTTTTCTAAAGCAAAGGAAGAGTCACTCGGGAATGAGTCCCCCTAGCTCCTTAGTTAGGTCACAGTTGTAATTATTTTTGGTTGCTTTACTGCTGATTATACTGTGGAAGATCCGACGGTAGTTTGGAATCTCTTAAGCTGACCAAGTCCTCTCAGTCAAACTACCCGGCAGACGACTAGTCTTCACCGGGATAGAACGCTGAGGCAATGAACACAGAACTCCACTACTGGAATTAGATTCCAGTTAAAGCAGTGAATCGACTAACTTCGTATAATCGATTCACTACTACTGATTGGAGAAGCTCTAACAACCTAATCAGATTCTATCTATCTCAGGTTGCAGCAGAAATCAATAAAAGATGACCAGACTTCAATTGACTCATTCAAAACATTTAAATCGATTATAATCAAGCAATATCACAATCCAAACGTAATTACAATCAAGATTCCTAACACATGGAACTAGGGTTCTTCATACCCAAGTGAGAGAGAGTTCTACTCCATAGAGAGAAAAACATAATACAAAGAAGACATACTTATAACAATGGGAAGAATCTGCTCTGGGATGTCAATCTTCACTCATGTGATGATCTCCGACCTCGATTGATGAAACCCAGCTCCAAACTCACTTCGAGGATGTGTTCTTCGCACTTTCTCTCTCTAGGGCTCTGTTTTTGCTCCAAAACGTCAATTCCCTTTCCTTTGCTCAAAATTGGGTTAAAACCTAGAAATTCCCGACCACACGGCCAGGCCACACGGCCGCGTGGCTTTCCCAGCTGCCCGTGTGAATGTGCAAAACGCCGCGTTTCACTTAAGTGGCTTCAGGTATGCTACACGGCCAAAACCACACGGCCGTGTGGATTTCCAGGATGCCCGTGTGAGCTCCCTGAACTTTCCACACGGCCACAACGGTTCCCTTACACGGCCAGTATGGCTTGCTCGTGCAATTTAGTGTCACACGGCCAGGTCACACGGCCGTGTGGCTTTTTAGGCGTGCACGTGTGGCTTCCACAGCTTCTCGCCAAACGTCCAGTCTTCGTCCAATCGACCCCGAACTCGTTCCCAAACCTTCATTCACGTACTAGGACCTGAAATATCACAAACAAGAACAACCTAGCGTGAAATCGGTCTAAAACACGAGAAATAAGACTCAAACGTTGTAATAATGGTGGGCAAAAAATGTGTATATATCAAGTCATCATGTATGATACTACCCCTTCTACTTACCTCCTCGCCAAATCCATTCCTCTGAGTCTCGTTTCCAGCTCGTGAGAAGCCCTTCGTCTCTTCTTCTTAGGCCTTCCCAACATGGCTCTTTGCTTCGGAGGGTGAATTGGAAGACCAGTAGCATCCGGCCAAGCCTGCCTATCGTCTAAGCAAGGGATGCCAACACTGTAGCCTCCCTCGACATGGTGGGCCTTGTAACAAGGATGTACATAAGCGTCCACCTCCTTCCTTATGTGTGAAATTGCCGAGACAGCATGGCAACAAGGCAAGCCGCTCAATTTCCAGTATCCACATGTACAACTCTGGTCAGTTAGGTACACAATGTAGCCATTCTCACCCATCTTCACTTCACACTTGTTGGCCAAGGTCTGCCTAGCAATACACAATCTAGCGACTTCCTTTTCTTTCTCTACCCTCTTCCTAATTCTAGGGAACAACATATCTGGGGAGTCCATTAACAAGTTGTACTTAATGAGAGAGAATGTTAACAAGCCATCTCCAGGAGTAGGCATTATTTCCCTCCACTACTGCCCAGGCGATTGGGTACATCTGATTATTTCCATCCTTCCCAAGCGTTGCAAGAATCATGCCCTTGACCTCCCCCTTCAAGAAACAACTGTCAAATCCAATGATTGGGCGACAAGCGAGAAGTAAACCGTCTCGGATGTTTGAGAACATCACAAACATCCTTTCAAAGTAAACTTTTTCTTGTGTAGGTTGCAGTTTAACCTCTAGAACAAACCGGCCTTACCGGTCTTGTTTCTTCAGCTCACCCAAATATGAACGCAGTCACTTGTACTCATCATTCAAAGAGCCACTCAGAAGTCGAATGGCTGCCACCTTCGCCCTATAACATGTCCTTCTCTTAACGTCAATGTTGTGCTTGAGTTTCACTTCGGCCATGATCTGCTCTGGGGCCCATTCAGGATTGATCCTGAACCTCTCTAGCATGTCCGTCACAATCCACTTCGCCGTAACTTGATTCACCCGAAGCTGTCTCGAAGAAGAATGTGGCAGCCCCACCTTCCTTATCATAAAATTCTGGTTCTTCCTAAACCAGCTTGCATACAGTTTCCATTTGCAGTTCTCATTCTTGCACTTCACTTCCCTCCTCGTAGGGTTAAACCTTGTCCACCTCAAACCTGCCCCATTTACTACAGAATGTTTCATCACCGCAGTCTTAAATTGTTCAGGATCCTAGAATCTCATGCGAGCGACAAAATCAAACTTTATGTGGTCACATTGAGGATCGTAGTGTGGTGCGCTGTCAAACACAGCAACACTAGCCTCATCAGATATATTACCTCGCACGTGGTCAGACTCCTTAGAAAGTCTATAGCTCGAATGGTTACTTGTCTCCTTACATGCTTGCTCAGTTGGAAGCACTTGCTGAGTTTCAGAATCTTCAACCTCCCCTTCATTCATATCAAGGTTGTCTAACCTGCCTTCTTCAACCTCTTCTTCAGATTCCTCCTCATCAAATTCCACTTCTTCAAACTCTTCCAACTGTTCCACCTCCTCCCCATGACCATCAGCCCTCGTCTTCACCTTTCTCTTGTTCATTTATCCGTAGGCCCGAAGGTTGTTCCTTGCCTCATGGTACTCATCGTCGGAGGTGTCAGCATCATCAGAGTCATAAACATGGATCATTGGTCGAGCCACAGAAGCAAAAACTCCCCCTTCATCTGCTGATAAGTAATCAGCAGAATTTGGTTCCTGGTTTGGGTCATTCTCTTCCATTGAACTCACCATCTGTTACAAAGAAAACATCACCAATTACTATTATAATCACAGTTACTATTATAATCATAATTTTAGTGCATTTTTAATCAATAAACAAGAAAGGTAACATCACCAACAAACATTATTCTATCCTAGGGTTTTCCAAAGCCAATGGCGATTCTACCCAAAAGTTTTTGATTGCTTACCTTCGATTTCAAGGGCAAACTCGCGAAATGAAAAAATCATGTGGTCCCGAGTAGACCCCTTTGTTGTGTCGCTTTCTGTCTTTTTTCCAGCTACGATCTATAAAAGGAAGAAACCAACAAAGCTTTACAACACTGCACATACAATCGATGGTCCCGAGTAGACCCCTTGGGAAATCTTTGCTTTCGATGGTCGAGTCCCCCTCACCAATACTGAATCGCGTCAAATGAATGTGGAATGAATCTATGAACCGCCACTATGCATGGCCGATTCGGCGGGGGGAGGCTCGGGTGTGGGATGTGAAGGAGATTTTCTGGTGAGGGAGAAAGGTGTTTTGCTTCTCGTGGTGGGATCGTTGATCGGAAAGGAATTAGTCGTCGTCGACAAATACCAGCGCCGATCTGGAGAAGGGGAGCTTCGTAGTTTGTCGGTGGTGAGAAGGGTTTCGCTGAAGCTCAGGTCGAGGGAAGGGAAGGGGAAAATGAAAAGTTAGAAAGTGACTGAGGCTGCTCGCATTTACCCTTTATGTAACTTTTTTTTTAATTCCACGTGGAATTAACTTGTTTGACGACAATGGCCACGTCGAAAGGTCCGTTAGTCCAGCTAGCACGTTAACTAACACTGTCAAACAATTAGAACGGAAGTGGCTATTTTTGGTATTTCGCAAAAAGTGGCTATATTTGGCAAAAACGTCAAAGTTTTGGCTATACAAGTGTATTTGGCCAAAAAAATAATAATAATTGTAGTCATGTAAGAAATTTGGCGGGTGGGTTTAACCTCTTACCAAACGTGACTGGGGGGGGGGGAGGGGGGAGGGGTCCTTAGTGACAGAGGTTAAAAAGTGGGAAGAGATTTTTAATTAGTGACAGAGGTGTTTTGGGTATTATGAAAAGTTTCAAAGTATACAAACCGGATTTATAAACAGTACAATCCTTACAAACATACAAACAGTACAAAAGAGAACAACAAAACATACAAACAGACGTACAAACAATACAAAACATACGAACTATACAAACAATACAAAGCAGGCCGACAAACAATACAAACCATAAAATAATGGAAAAACAACCATGGTGACTTTTGAGGCTCCATCCCTATATATAGGGGCACCGTCCCAAAGTCAATCCGGTTATTTTTTAGACATACAAACATTACAAACATGATGGACAAAAATTACAAAGTAGACCGAAAAACCATACAAAATAGAAAAACACCCGAGTTGACTTCGGAGACTTCATCTCTATATAGAAGAGTTATGTCCAAAAGTCAACTAGGTTGTTATTTAGACATTACAAACATGGTTGACAAAAATGACAAACATGTAGGACAAAAATAACAAATCTTACAAACATTACAAAAGAAACCAACAAACATTACAAAGCTTACAAACACTACATAATACACAGACAAACATTACAAAGCATACTAATAGTACAAATTAACACTACTTACAATAAAAATCGATAAAATTATATTACAAATCAATGAATACAAAGTATACAAATCATAA